ATGTGGATCAATCAGTGCTTCATTGAAGAACTGGTATAATAATTAAAGACTGAAAGGTCTGATTCAAATCTACTATCGCTCAATATAAAGAAAACGAATATCTTATCCTTCCATTGCAATCTACCAAATTTAGGTCGATAAAACACATGAAGCTGGGCGACAAGCCGAAGCTTTCGTCATCACTCACAGCTTAGAGCAGCTTATCAAAGAACCCACACGAATTCCCGATGCAAATTACCATTCAGCTAACTTACTTGACTTATTCCTCGCTAATAATGCAGCACCTTACACCATAGATCTACAAGCTCTACTTGGCAATTCCGACCACACACTCATCTCCACAACCTGCCCATTTTTTATTCCATCAACTGCTACGGCACCCCCACGTCTTATATGGCATTACAATTCAGGAGATTGGGACGATCTCCACATGTTTTACTCCGAGTTTCCTTGACATAGAGTATGCTTTGACTCTGAGGACCCTTCACAGTGTGCTGAGGAAATATCCGAAATCATCATGCTCGGAATGGACACATACATACCTCATTCTTCGAAAAGATCATCACCATCGAAACCCTGGTTCAACAAAGACTGTTCTAAAACTGTTGCCTTGAAACAAACAGCCCACCATCGCTGGCGCAAAAACCCTAACCTCGCGACTAGAGCAGAATACGTTGATGCCAGGAATAACTGCCGCCAAACAATAGATGCTCCAAAAGAAACATGCAATGCCAAGATAAGATCGAAACTCATAGATTGTCCCAATGGCTCCCGTTCGTTTTCGTCCCTTGCTAAAGCGGTCGGAAGAAATTTCACTAATAGAGTTCATTTCCACCATTGTCCAAATCCGACGGCACATTAGCAACAACATCGCAGGAGAAAGCGAATATTTTTGCAGAGATGTTCGCAGCAAACTCTACTTCAGATTCCCAAGGAAAAGTGCCGCCAGACATTCCACCCGTTGAGAGTCGAATGCCCGAAATCGTCTTCCGTCAACGCACTATCAGACGAATTTTGCTTGGTCTCAAAACGAATAAGGCTAACGGTCCTGATGGAATTCCACCCATTATCCTCAAAAAATGTGCACCAGAATTAACACCGATTCTCTGCAAGTTGTTTACCGTCTCGTACAGGTCGGGTATTTTTCCATCATGCTGGAAGACAGCTAGAGTCCAACCAAACCCCCCCCAAAAAAAAGGAACAAGAACCTGCCCAACAACTACAGGCCCATTGCCCTGTTATCAGTTATCTCCAAAGTGATGGAGAAAGCCATCAATATTGAGCTTATCAAATATCTGGAGAGCTCAGGAATCATCAATGATAGACAATACGGCTTTCGCCGAGATCTACTGGAGATCTACTTGCCTACGTCACCCATTTATGGCAAGCTTCATTAGAAAAACACGGGGAATCTCTAGCTGTCGTGTTGGACATATCGAAAGCATTCGACCGTGTTTGGCTCAAAGGACTCCTCCACAAACTACCATCATATGGCTTACCACCTCGGCTATGCCATCTCTTATCGAGTTTTCTTTCAGGCAGATCGCTTCACGTGGTTAGTGGACGGAGTATCGTCTGATACCATTGGCATCAATTCCAGCGTTCCACAAGGATCAATTTTGGCACCAACATTATTCCTTCTTCATATCAATGATCTGTTGGGAGTAACAACTTGCCTCATCCACAGCTTTGCAGATGATAGTACCCTCCATACTGCGTTCTCTTCCAGAATTCCCATTTCTTCCCGGGAAACTAAGAACTCACGGCGCAGGCAGGTCATTGCTGTCAATGAAGACCTTGCTGAAATCACAGCCTGGGGAACCAACAACTTAGTGGAATTCAACGCCACCAAAACTCAAGCCTGTATTTTCTCTTGAAAGGCGGAACTCAGTTTTCCCGATATTGTAATGTCTGGCACCACCATCCCCACCATCCCCACCAAGCCCACCATATCTATGCTCGGTATTTCCATCAGCAACACTCATGGGATAATCATGTCAAATCCATCGCAAAAGCTGCTTCACAAAAGCTCGGATTCTTGTTCCGCGCGAAAAGCTACTTTACACCTCAACAGCTTCTCATGATCTACAAATAAGCGCAGATAAGGCCTGTTCTAGAATAATGTTTCCACATATGGGGTTCAGCACCAAAACATACGCTGATGCTCTTAGATTCCATCCAGAGAAGAGCCATTCGCCTGGTGGGTGACGCCACACTCACTCACTCATTGACATCATTGCAACACCGTAGGAAGGTCGGCGACCTTTCACTTTTCTATCGATACTTCCACGGGAAATGTTCTTCGGAAATCTCTGCAATCATCCCTTCACTAGCAATACCAATCAGACGAACTAGACAAGCCCAGTCAGCACATCCTTTCGTCGTCAACCTCGAAAGATGTCGAACAGCACTTTATCAAAACTCCTTCATCCATAGAACGGCTAGGCTCTGGAATTCATTGCCTGAGGAAGTATTCCCAACAGCATATAATCTCCAGAAGTTAAAAAAAAGCTCCAATACCTACCTCCTGTCCCTATCCTCCCTTTAGGAACGCAAGATGTTACTTGAACATTATAGGGATTTCCTTTCGTGCGCTCCAAGCGATATAAACAAAAGGTATGGGAAGTGAAAAAATAGAAAATAAATCATCGACCAAGTTTTTAGGTTTTTACATTGACAAAAAACTAATATTCAATGAACATGTAACATTTATGTGTAGAAAATTAGCCTGTGGATGCTTCGCTGTTAGAACTATTGCTGCAGAATTAGGATTTATGTCTGCTAGAGCTGCATACTTTGCCCGCAACGAATCTCATTTGAGATATGGAACTGCATTCTGGGGAGTCTGCAGTGATCAGCTATTCCACCGGAATTTTTGTCTTACAAAAACGGGCCCTAAGATATATGTGTGGAGCAAAATCAAAGGACTCATGTAGACATTTATTCAAGAATTGCGGCATCCTGACAGTAGTTGGCTTATACATCTTGGAAACAACGGCTCTGATACAAAAAAACATAGCTTCTTTAGAGCTTGTTTCATCACATTACAACACAAGACAGAACGGACAAGTTAAATTGATAAGACCCCGTACCACTATGATCAAAGACTCCATTATTTATAATGGAATAAAGATATTCAATCAATTCATATCAAAGAAATTCCGTGTAACAATAAAAAATTCCGGACCAAGGTGAAATATTGCTCGTTCAGACTCCACTATACAACTTCGAGGAATATTTTTCTTTCTTGATTTGTTCTGAAAAGTATCGTTTCATACAACATATAACTTATAAATATTTGACTATGGCTTTATAGGAGCTCTCACATGTGATAGTTTTATTATAATATTTTATATTTTTTATCATTGTCTATCTACGAAAGCGTCTAGGGGTCACGCACATTTAAAATCATTTTTTTTTTCAATATATTGGAAAAAAAATGCAATATGTTGGAAAAAAAATTCAATATATTGAAAAAAAAATCCAATATATTGAAAAAAAAATCCAACATATTGGAAAAAAAATTCAATATATTGAAAAAAAAATTCAATATATTGAAAAAAAAATCCAATATATTGAACAAAAATCCAACATATTGAAAAATAAATTCAATATGTTGAAAAAAAATCCAATATATTGAAAAAAAATCCAATATGTTGAAAAAAAAATCCAATACATTGTTTTTTTTTTCAATATATTGAAAATTTCATCCCAACGGCCAGGAAAGTTCCACGACTATAGAACCCCGCTGACGGTCGAAGTGTGCAAATCTGCCAGCGACATCTGTCGGCGACAACACAAAGCAAGGACTGAAAGACTCGAGCGGGGAATTACAATTACATAGTGACTAAAGAAATTCAACTACTTTTTACTACCAAATACTATTTTAGAGGCGGGTAAAATAGGAAAATGATGATGAAAAACTACTTCAATCTTTGTGCTTTTTCTCTCCATATCCACTACGATTTATTGCCATGTTATGTATAATATCTGAGATGTAACAATATTTTTGCAAGAGGTGTGGATTTTCATAATTCTAGCAGATTATATTATCGAAAAATACACGAATAAAAAAGTAACTGTATTATGCGTCACTACAAGTCCATTCTGTAAACATCTCTGGTAAATCCAACGATATCCGCATAATTGACCAGACGTCTTTAACTTAGCTTGGATGAAATCGATCACAGTGGATAATGCGGAATAATTCCTTTTTCTATTCAATTTCATACTTCTCAGTTTACGTTTGAGTGTTGATAAACTCATTACCAATTTAATGTCTCAAATACAGAAAGGCTAGTATTTCTTCATAATGCATGCCACTCAGAAAATAATCCTTTATTATAAAATCAGTATGATTTCTTGAGACGTTTAGTAAATCTCCATCATTGTCCATTTCCGTATTAAGTCGTGGTAATAATATAATCATTCAAAGCGAGCAGAGCATTACTAATGCACTCTGGCACAACAAGCAGCTTGGCACATTCATCACTCACTACTCACTTTTCCTGGATTTGAATAATGAAGAAAAATCCAATATATTGGATTTTTTTTTCAATATATTGGATTTTTTTTTCAATATATTGGATTTTTTTTTCAATAGATTAGATTTTTTTTTTCAATATATTGGATTTTTTTTTCAATATATTGGATTTTTTTTTAATATATTGGAAAAAAATATTTTAATTGTGTGACTCCTAGACGCTTTCGTATCTATCTATGTTGTTTTTTATTTTTAATTTTTACTAAGGCTTTATATACGAGCTTTTCATTGTATATTTTCAAATGTGTTCCAGAAAGCTTCACATTTTGGATCGCATATTGTTTATTATATTTCATTTAAGTATGTATATGTACGAGCTTTGTCAACAAATACGAATGTATTTATGGCAATAAAGCATATATTGAATTGAATTGAACATTTTCAAACCTGTTCAATTGTTTTGTCAACTTAATGTTTCATCATTAAAAAACGGTTTCATGTGAGTTTCATTTTCAAGCATCAACCAAACCAGGCACAGAATACGGGACACCATAGAGGAAACGAGCTTATCGCTCAGAGACATCCTTCCTATCAAGCCCAAACACTATGACAAAAATCGTGCGCCGAAATTCCAAGGGCAGGCAACAATCGTTTATTTCCATGTTACTGTCCTGTCTCTGGACTCCATCAACGAGGAATCAATGGTAAGTTGACACCAAAACCTATTTTGTTCATGTATCCCCAGTAGTGCACCTGTGGGGCCACCAGACCAATATGCAGTCCTGAATTTGTAAATAGGCTCACGTTTTGCTAATCATGGATACAACGAGTCGGGGCTAAGTTCCCAAAAAGCCCTCCGTTACAATCCTAGAAGCATATCATGTAACAATTGGATGAATGACTTTAACCCCCTATTTCGATCCCGCTGAATCCGAAAATACCGTTTATTATGTCGAAATTCTAACCGGAAGTGAGATATTGAAGATGGCGTCCAAAATACCCCTATAATAAAATTATTTTCTACTCTTGGTTAGCTATACGATTGAGGTGCCGATTTCTTTGTTTTCGGAGGTGTAGAACACGATGAGACACTCAAAAAATGATTTGGAGCATTGAAAGTTCATCGAATGATCAAATTTTGACGAAATGGGCCAAAATTCCAAAGAACTTGTGAAGACGTGTTGTATAATGTATATGCTTGCTTGCATACGTTCTCGAGGGTGCTCAATACGTTTATGAGCTCAAAAAAGCATTTGAACATTGTCCAAGCCTTCATCTCTTATATTTTGAAAAAAAATTCACTATTAGTAGTCTTCTTCATCTGTTTCTGCTCCATTCATGCACTTTGCCTTGCCTCCCTGTAGCCACACTGCTTCGTGCCGCAGAGCCCCTTGCAGCCACAAGCTCCAAATTCGGGACATGACTTGGGTATAGGTGGCAAAGTCATCAAGATTGGGACATACCGCCCATCGACAATTTTCACACACTAGTACCCAAAAAGAAAACAGACTAAAATTAAAATCCCTCGATTTTTTCTATTTTCCTTTTTTTTTTCTTGTTAATTTTATCTGGAAGTGGCACCGAAGAATGTGTTGACGGAGGTTATCCGTGGTAGATGGCAAAAAGCATTCACATTGTCCCAAAAATTGCAACACGGGCTGCCAACCTCAAATGAAAATGGTATCAGTATCAAAACGGCTGACAGTTTATATCCACCATGTGTCTTATTAGAAAAGGGACGCAACAAACCTTGAATAAAGCTTGCACCACAAACTGTTCAACCAAACGGAGATCCTCGGGGGCTAGATGAGTTGTCTTTCCAAGCTGACTGAGGAGTTTACAATAGCTTTCTTCTATGTACTGCTTCCACCGTCCTATTTTTGTGACAGACCCTAATTAAGATGTAGTATCAAATGCTATGATTGCGTGGAAAGCCATCAGATGTTTGATCTGTTCTGGTGTGAGCTTCCTACATAGTTCGTGAATTGGAATATACTTTCTGTCTCCGGAAGTACCACACATCACCCAGCATTCCTTGCATTTCATTTTTCCAAAGTGATAGATGAAAAATAAAATCACATCGGTGTCTTTAACAGAAACAACAACAGCCTCGCTTTCGGTTTTTACGCATAGAGTATATATTCCAATTCACGAACTATGTAAAGATGCTTGCACCACAACAGATCACAAACCTGATGGCTTTCCACGCAATCACCGGATGTGATACTACATCTAAGTTAGCGTCAGTCACAAAAACAGGACGGTGGAAGCAGTACATAGAAGGAAACTACCGTAAACCCATCAGTCAGCTTGGAAAGACTCCTGATCAAGTCCCCAAGAATCTCCGTTTGGTTGAAAAGTTTGCGGTGCAAGCTTTATACAAGGTTTGTTGCGTCCCTTTTCTGAGACACATGGTGAATAAGAAATGTTAGCCGTTTTGATACTGATACCATTTTTATTTTAAGTTGGACCGGACATTACAACGGCAGACGCAGCCCGTGTTGCAATTTTCGGAACAGTGCGAATGCTAGAGTTTTTGCCACCTACCACTGATGCCCTCCGTTAACGCATTCTCCGGTGCCATTCCCAGGTAAAATTAACAAGAAAAAACAAGGAAATAGAAAAAATCGAGGGATTTTAATTTCATTTTGTTTTCCTATTAGGTACTAGTGTGGATTAACGCCCATGATCAGCATCTTGTTTCACCAGACCCGATTAATTGCGGCTGGAAAATTATTGATGGACGGTATGGCCAAATCTTGATGACTTTGCCACCTATTCCCAAGTTATGTCCCGAATTTGATGCTTGTGGCTGCATGGGGCTCTGCGGCACGAAGTAGTGTGGCTGCAGGGAGCCGAATGAAGCAGAAAAAGATGCAGAAGACTACTGATTGTGTTTTTTTTATACAGTATGATGCAAATGTATGCAATAAATTCATTTCAAAACAAGACGACTCCCGAAAAAAATCCAAAAACTAGAGTTCAGAACTTTTTTTATTGTGTCTTTTTACAACTAGACGACCCTTCGATGTTCAATTCTCAGTAGCAGACCTCTGCAAGATTCAGTTAACCGAATGATAAACCATTTTAATTTCAATCTTATTATGCAAAATTTTGACTGTTGGATAGACGATCGGTAGACCTTTCAAACGAGGTGTCACGTGACCCCTGTTTGTATTTGAATAAATCGTCCATTACGTCATTACTCCAACACCAGTGACGTAACATCTCTCATATGAATGTCATGAGATGAGGCTTCAAAAATTAAAACTCACGTGTTTTTGGAATTTCTCCAAATGTCGCCCATTTCTGAAATAATGAATTTATTCCATACATTTGCATCATACTGTACTATATAAGAAATGAAGGCTTGGACAATGTTTAAATGCTTTTTAGAGCTCATAAACGTATTGAGCACCCTCGAAAACGTATGCAAGCATATACATTATGAACACGTTTTCACAAGTTTTTTGGAATTTTGGCCCATTTCGTCAAAATTTGATCATTCGATGAACTTCCAATGCTCCAAATCAATTTTTGAATGTCTCGTCGTATTCTACACCCCCGAAAACATAGACATCAGCACCTCAATCGTATAGCTGACCGAAAGTAAAAAATAATTCGATTTTAGGGGTATTTTGTACGCGATCTTGAATACCTCACGTCCGGTTGGCATTTCGACTTGATAAACAGTATTTTCGGATTCAGCGGGGTTGAAATAGGGGGTTAACGTCATTTATCCAATTGTTACATTCTTCTAGGATTTGGCTTTTCGCAAAACAAGCCCGGACTATATGATACAGGTTAGTTTGTTGTGTCCACGTTATTTTCCTTTTCCTATCTAGCAACAAATCGTCATAATCCTAACGTCCTCCTCCCGCTTAACGATCATCCTTACACTCCTTACTCTTGTTAATTTATGACATTGATTTTGAGTATCACTTGGTTTAGAAATGTGTACACTTTCACAGTCACATTTCCTTCAATAAGACGGCGAATAAACCTGAATCTACATTGTTATCACATCTTTTCACTTTTCAGAAGAACCAATCTCGTTTACGTTTACTCGACCTTTTCAACATATCGCTTTGCACTCCGGCCACAAATTGTTCTGGAAATTTTCATGTTCAAAACGATTGAAGTATTATCAAAGGTCTTCATTATCCCAAGAAAAACTGAACTCTTCGTCTCTCTATGCAAAAAAGCAGTCATATATAATGAACACAAAAGACTATGATGATTTCGTAAAAAGAATTTATTCTCGTTTATCCTCATTTTTCAATGCTGAAATTGGGCAACATCCTTTTCAACACAATATTGATAATATAAAACGCAAAAAAGCTCAATCTTGTAGAAAAATGTATCTCGTTGAAGAATACTTCGACTTGTTGAAAATACTTGTTTCGTTTTGTTCGATCACATGTTGAAGTTGGTCCATTTCTACAAATCAGTACACTCCTCGTTGGAAATGATCCATCTTCAGAACCAACTCAAAATATTCAACAATTTTCTTGATTTTCTTACATCTTAGATTTCTTCGGTACACTGAGAAAATTCGGCCAAGTAAATTGTTTTCTTGAAAAAAAATCGATTGTGACAAGAACATTTTCACCAACGGTAGGAAAATATGGTACTTGCAGTAGGCAAAACTATATTTCTGGAACGAAGTTTCTGCTGTAAGTGATCAGAACACTTGTTGGTATCAACCAAGTCGATATGTACTTGAAGTTCGCTAATTCTAAGTGAACACTAAACTAGTGCTAGGTTAACGAATACTCACTATTATTAAATTATTTTTCTGATATAAGATCACTTGCTCTGAGCGAACTCATCAATAAAGACAATCTATCAAGTCGATTGTTGCAGGTGACAGCTCACCTGTAGTTATAGATCTCTTTTCCGTTCGGACATCTCCGATATCATTCAAGTACCCACGCCCAACGCGATCGCTGTCCAGTGTCCACGAGTCGACGGCGTCATTTCGATCTTAGCATTCGTGAAGTTAGTATACTTGCGTTCCCGCTAGTAACATTGAAATTCCAAGTCATGCAAGTGCCATTTCGAACAACTACTATATCATATTCGTATGATAATTCTCTGTTTGTGTGCCGTGCTCTGTGGCCGTGCTCTGAGCTGTGGGGTGTTGAGTTCTTGATCTGTTCTCTTGAAGGAGATAATGAAATACAAAACTCTTCTAGAACAGTACATAATTGTTTCTACATATATACAGGATTTTTTTCCACTTCCTATGATACTCGAAGTGGAAGGAAGTAACGTTTAAAAAGTATGAAAGTTGATTCATCTTCAATGCTGGAAGGAAAAAGATAGTGAACCAGAGTGCAGTGCAGTGAGTGAGAGTACCGTTTTTCTCGGTGCATGATGCTGATATACGCGGTATCTATAGTATCTCAATTTTTGTCGTCAGCCTTACCTTTTTTGTATTTCCTGGATTCATCATACCTATATAATAAAATGTTTTGAATGCATGTGTTTTTGTCTTATTACCAAGGTTTTATCATTTTTCAGAGAACAATGGGGGTATTTTTTCATACTAGCTAATGACAAGTGAATAAGTCACTATTGACAAGTGAATAAGTCACTGATGACTAGTAGATAAGTCACTAATGACATGTAATTAGGCCACTAATGACTAGTGAACAAGTCACTAATGAAAAGTAAATGAGTCACTAATGACAATTGAATA